TTTCCATCTTTCTCCTAATACTATAAAATTATAGTTAAGTTGCTCTTATAGCTTCAGTTGAAAGATCATGTAAATGTGGCTGGGCTACATGATAGCCCTTCTCCTCTTAGCTGTTGCAGAGTTACTGGAGCATAGCCTTACCGTGAGTGTAAGAGAGGATATAGCTCGCACAGCTCAGTAGGTCATTCTTGGATTATGTCATGGATATTGCCAATAGGAGGGCAGTAGAAGGGCTACTTAGATTAAATGATTCAGTCCACCGCTTTAACACAATGTAATTTAGAGGAATAGAACTATAATTATCATCATTCTTGGAAGCAACTCTTTTTTTCCAATAATATATGTTTTAGTCAAACATATATACATTTCTGAATAAGGATCAAAAATTAATCTATGTTTATTATTACAGCATTATTGAGCTAAGGAACAAATACAAAAGAAAAGAGACAACAGACGTAATTTTGTGCTTAATAATAATTATAATTATAATAATTATAATACTTCATACAGGGAAGGCTGTCCAGCTCTGTTTTCTGTAGTAGGTTTAATAAACCCTGTAGTGCTTGTTATTTTAAATAATTATGGAAAACAGTTTAAAAAAAAAAACCTTAAACTTAGTTATTACGGACTTACTGAGCTGGCAAAAAGAAGCATGTTCACATGCAGAGGATTCAGTGGTTTGTAACTAGTCAGCTCTGTTGTGATAAAGTCAAAACTACTGTCAGTGATCTTGCATTTTTCCCTTTACATGGTTAATGAGTGGGGGACTTTTAAGGCAAAATCCTAATGTTGCCCTTCCTGTGCTTATATAAAAAGTAGTTTAAAAATATTTACAGCTTCTTTTAGGGTGATGGATCATCTTTCAACATGTGTAGTTGGCATGGGGGCCAGTCTGACTCGTACCAAGGTAGTGTTCCCATATGATATCACTGTGGAATCCCTACACTGACTTTTAATTCATGGTGGCTTTCAGTCAAAATGGGGTGGGAGGACAGTCTATATTTTAATGTTTTTATTCCTGTCATTCTAAACAGCTGTATAAAAAAAAAGTAGTTTTGCAAGTTTAATCTTAATAATCTTCACCCAAAAAAAGCAGACACGCTATGTCATAAAATAACTATTAGTGACTAGTTTGTATCCTATAAATCTAACTTGAGTTGATAATATGGTCCATTACCAGCTAACTGCACAGAGTATTTTTCATTTTACACTCTTCAGTTACTTTTTAGTGAAGTGTTAAAAAATATGAAGCTTTTCTCCTCTCTAAAATTGCACACTGTCTGTCTGTTATTAGGGAGATAACAGCTCTTATAAATGTTTCAGTAAGCATTAAGTAGACAGTTATGTGCACTCTCATTCCACGCTTATTTGCTTACTGTAATAAACTGATAAAATATGTGTGGTTTGTCTCTGTGTATCTGCAGGCATCATGAGTCACATAGATTTCCTTTAGAAATAATGTTGTGTCTGCAGAATTGATTGGTTATTTTCATAAACCATCCAAAGGTACACAAACGACTTCTATTATTTAAACATATGCTGTGTAAGATTTGTAGGGGATTATCTCCTGGTTACTAGATGCTTCTTGTTCTATTAACTCTTTGGAGGATTATTTTAATCCCAGAGTGACTGCAGGTATCTGCCTTGCGGGTTTCTTTAAGTATTGCAGTTACAGCCATTAAAAATTTTAGAATTAAAACAAAAAACCCGTTTGCCAGACTGATGCAACTGTTAAATAGACTGCATTACAGTCACAACAACCTTTGCCAGCTCAAAACCCTTGCTAGCAAGTAGAGGGCTTGAGTTCTCATTTTCCAGAACTAAATTCCTTTGTTCAGCATATATACATTTTACTTATTTCTAGTACTGCCATGTTAAATGCAACTGACAAGTTTCATGTTCTACAGGAAGGAAGATGGTTCAAACGTAATGTCATTATGTTTGCCTGTCCTTTGCATGTCTGTTGCTCTGTATAGTATATTGAAAATGAAAGTGAATGGACTCACGAGTGAAATTATGCCTGAAGCACGAGAAATAATGCTGGAAGGGGCATAGATTAAAATCTCTAAAAATTAGAGGAAGATTTCAGTAAAATTTGAGTCAGCGTTACAATTTAATCATAGTGAGGGATTTTTGCTGTATGTGTATGCATATGTATTTACCTGTTGGGCTTCTGACTACTAACTTTTTATGTTTTCATTCCTATTAGTAAACAGTATTAATAAAAGCAGCTATATGTTAACACAGAGAAGCTAATGTACTTCAAAATACTTGTTTTAACATGAATAAAACACATTTCCTAAGCTTGTTAATGAAAAATGGGTGAAGCATTTAATGAAATAACTTTTCTATTATGCACGTCCAGCTCGAATTAAATGTTAAAAGTTAAAGGCTAAGCTTAAACTTAAAAATAAGATTTAAATTACAACTGAAAACTTAAGTTTTATTCATTAGTTCAGCAATGGTTTAAGTAACAGGTGCTAGTGTGACTCTGCTAATAACCTCTTACTGCTATTGTCTCTTTCTGTGTATGTACCAATAAGATATTTAATATTTGAAGTACCTCCTTTCTTATTTCCTAACAACTGAGTTGTTTTTTGAGAGTTTGACCTTGTAATTTACTTCTAGAAGCCTAAGCAGAGTATTATTCTATTAAAGTTTGGTTTTAGTATTCAAAGACGTTTTGAGTTTTGAGGAACTGTGAAGGTCCATACAATTCTACTTTTTCCATTCACTTTACATTAGCTGGAAATCTGGTAATGTGATGTCACAGGTGTCATTATTTTATAAATATGATTTAAAGACAAGTTACATAAAAGTAAGCCTAATCGTATCATGTATTTATGCACATAAAATGGCATTGGAGTAAAAAGATATCTGGTCATTATGTGTTTTGCAAAATTTCACTGAGTTGTGTTCTTGGACAAAATTAATAGATATTTTCATGCTTGTCAAAGATTAGTAGTTGGACTGGAAAAAATTACTCCATTTAAAAATATGGTGCTGTATTCCTCAAGTGGTATTACTACTATTATTTGAAAAGGGCCAGAAATTTAAATATTTGGCTATGTGTTCTATTGTAAATAGCTGTATTTTCTTCTGATCATACAGGAAAACTAAAAATGTTGTCCCTGAGAACACTACATTATCTTTTTAGGGAGAAGAAAATGTCTGAACTTCACCAATTTACTTTAAAAGTATTAATAAATTGTACAGATTTGAAGTTGAGGTTGTGGAGTTTCCTCAGTTCAGACATATTCTGAAACTGCCTTTAGCCTTCACACTGAAGGTTACTGGTAGATCATTAATTTGTTTCTAAAAATACTGATACCAGAGTTTTTGTGTATTAGAGAAAGAAACACTAGGTAAAGTTGAAAGTGAAATCTGTTGTGGAATTTTTTGCAGAGGTATTTGCTTGATCACATCTTGTATATGTTGTTCTAATTACAGTCACATAGTGGTTGAGTTTTGAGGGGATGGGAAGCCTTTCTGCCTTTTTTCCTTCATTATTCATTCTTCATGCAGTCTGATATGCATGAAACTTAATGCACCTTCCAAAGCCACCTCTGAATACAAACTCACTCAGTTCCTCATGTAGTTTTCTTCAGCTTTCACCTATGTAGTGCTCACACTTCTAAATATTTATTAGTTGATCTTTACAGATACTCAGTTGAGGTGATGGATATTACTAGCCTGGCTTTCCAGTTCAGAAACTGGTGCTCAGAGATGAAGATCAAGTTTGTAATGTGCTTGCTAACTTCTAAAGTTTTTCAGCACAAAAGTTTTTCAGCAGTATTCTCTACTGCCTTATGTTTTCCAGATACTCTCCCATTTCTGTAACACCTGTGGGTTTAAATCCCAGCTGTTATCAACTTCCCATATTACTGGAGTTGTTCACTAAGTCTTTAGATCAGCCCCTGGATGTTAAATGTGGCAGTCAGGAAAATGTGGCAACCTCTAAGAGTTTTGTAGGGAAGGGAAGATAAAAGTCCATTCTCCTTGCTTAGCTGCCTGGAGTCCTGAACATCCTGCTATTTGCAGTTGTCTGTTTCACTTAGTTACACATTCAGGGCTATGGGCAGGGCAAGAGAAGATGGACATTCATCAGGGGAAACAGATAAACAGATCTATCTAACAGATATACTATAAGGTTTAGTAGCTCATAGTGCATTGATCAGACAAATGGGATTTTTGTGCTGAGCATTTGACTTTTTCAACCTGTGTGTTCTGTTTGTGTGGTGTTACTTTTCATGTAATTTCCTAGCCTTTCCTTAAAACTTGTTTAAAGAATTCAAATTCACTTTTCTGCAGTTTTGTGCATATTCCTTACTTTTTAGCTCATGATTACAGGTTTCCTTCTCAGCAGTATCTTCTGGGAATTTGTTTGCACACTGAATGTCTTTTATTCATGCTACTTCTTCAGGATAGAATGGACCCAAACATCCTTGGGATTTCTCTTACTGCTTGTGGCAGCAAGACTATTAAAACAGTGGCAACATCTTTCTGCTCTATACAACTGGTTTTAGTATTTGACTGGTGTAATTGTTAGGCAACATTTTTTGTGGTTTTAAGAGAAGGGGAAGACAATTTCTCACTATACTTTCACAGTACACAGTGGGCTTGCAGTCACCCTTGAGTTCTGATGCATAGAATGGAGGGAGGCTTCATGTCAGAAACAAAGTAATTATTTTAACTCTATTAATTTAATGGATAACTGTAGAGTTAAAATATTGAAAACATTTTTATAATGGTAAGTGACACAAATACAAAGGTAAAGCTGCTTGTTCTCAGCACCAGAAATATTCTTTTTGGGCTCTGTTATCTGATATCTATTACTTCAATTTGTTTATGGATTTGAGTATGTCCTTACATGTTTCTAGTTCACTAAGATTCTGACTAGAAAGCAGGTGCTCTAGCTGAGTGAAAAGTGCAATATTTAATTGTCATTTTATCTGTTCTTTGCTTATGCCATTCACCAACTGTTGTTTTGTACTTAACAGGTCACTACCCAAGTTTCTGTGCCAACAAAAACACATGAACTGCTTCATCGAATGAGTGGAAAAGGATTAGCAGCTCATTATCACTTCTCAAGACAGCCAGGCATTTTTGGTGATTGTATGGTATCTGTGCAAGTGACAGTAACAAATACAACTGATCAGAAGATAGAGAATATTCACATTGGGGAGAAGAAATTACCTCCAGGCATGAGGATGCATGAGTTTAATCCAATAGGTAATTGTATCCTGTCTTAAAAATACAGATTCTTAATCTTTTACAAAACTTTAAATATAGGAAAGTGTTTTTGCATAGTCATACATATGCTCATATGTATGTGTGTATACACATATATACATATGTATGTATGTATACATACACACTCATGCAACTATCTTTTCTTAGATAATCTGATTTTAACAAAAATTTAATTCAGCTTTCCCCTACTTGTATTTGACTTTGAAAACAACTCCTTAGATCAGAACTTCCATACCTGAAAGCTTACCTGCTTTTTCAAATATCAATTATATCAATTCCAGTTGATATAATAAAATTTTTCATTCTCCCCACAGACTTTAGTTCTCTTACAGCCTTAGTCCAGAATGGCTATAACAGGCTACTATTAAGAATGAGGTTTTGATTTATATATTCACAATTATTTTCTTTCCAAGCTTTAAAGAATATTTGTAGATGTATTATTTAGTTTGGTGGCTCACAGCTTTCTCGTTGTTTCCCTTGTGAGCTTTTGGCAGTGGAATGGAAGTGTGTGTTCTAGTCTAGTTTGCGTCTACCATACTTCCACCAAGTGTGGCTCTTAGACTAGGTAGAAAGCAATGCTGTAGTCAGTCCTAACCTAAATTGTTTTACTTTCTACCTTCTTATCGGGATGTTTTTTTGCTAAATTTCTGTTAGTGGAAAAGAGTAGAAAACCTGAGAAAGCACACAGATCATAGCAACTTTTATTCAAGGGTAGTACCTGTGCACACAACCTGCTTTCTTTTCTCAGCAGTTCTTTGTTTAGGACATGGTAGTATAGTCAGAAGGAACAAAAGTGTCTCTATTTCATATTATAAATGGAAAGAACAGGCATGCTCCTTTTTGACACAAGCTCCTGTACTTGATACGTTTCTTGTCTTTTAATGACTTACATTACTATGTGAATCCATATCACATTAGAAAAATACAGAAACAAGTTCTTAAAGCACAACAGTGAAGTAAGGATTTCAGTAGTTAAAAAGATGTTTGGTATTAAATTGCTGTATGCTATTGAAATACTTATTTTTTTAACATTTGAAAGGCTATACAGATTTACAGCAAATAGCTACAAAAGCAATTGTACAATGCTACAGTTTATTTCAGTTAAAATTTTGGAACCATTTGCATTTTGATAATGATGCATACTTGATCAAGACAGTTACTTTTAGGAAAGATATTAATTTTTGTGTTAAGTGAACTGTTCAGTACAGAGTTCTGATTTCAAGGTAGTTTTGGCCATCAGCCTAATTTTATATCCCTCCCTTTAAACATTCAAAGAAATAAAGTCACAGAGGCTTACAAGTAGAAAACTAGTAATACTATAAATCAGATCAGGAGATACTGTACTCATAATAAGAGTCAGTGAACAGTAGCATTCACTTCTCTCACGTAAAAAACATGAAAAAGTCTGGAATTAATAAGTTATCCAGTTCAGGTTTCTGGAGTTCCAAAAACACAATCCTACCCTTTAAAGTATTTATTTCCCCAAGACAGACATTATTGTGGTATCTTCCCTGTGAAGCTGTTGTTTTTTTCTGCAGAAAATAAGCTATGTATCATCTGTAGTTCCTTCCAGAAATGTTGCTTTTCTTGCATGAATGCAAATTTTCTGTATTCTTTGTCACATTATCTAGAACTCAGTTTATATGCTCTGTTCTTCTTATTACCTTTTGTGTTTCCAGCATTTGGAAAACACATCCTATAATTTGCCCAGCAGAACCAACAGAAGTGTCAGTGTAGACAGGTATTCCTACTGGAGTATAAGTCTAGTTTTGCCTCCATTATTGCAATTACTGTTGGCAATTGTCCTGATCTTGCCAGTATAAATGGGCCAAATTATTTCATTGAAGTCCCTGTACACAGTATTTTCTTGTTGGCTAGGTGCCTTTGAAGCCGTGTTTGAAAACATTATACTCAAAGACTTTGGTGAAGTTTAGTCTGAATTTGAGCTGGAGCCTGTAATCTTTTGATGCTTTACAGACTTCTTTTCTTGAAATACTTAGTTTTCTATTCTTTCCC